GAAGCGGGTGGGGAAATGTTAACTCACTCCCCTCGCTCTGTTTGCATGATGCAAGGACAGAACATTTAGAGGAGATGTTGCTGCCATTTGGATCAGGGGGAAATCGAGGGGGACAGAGCAGTTGGGTTTTAACACCCTGAAAATGTGTCATTTCATCTCGCATTCTTCATGGTTTAGTGAGCCTGACTTTTTTTTCGCCTCCAATCAATTCTCCTTCTGTGCATTACTGAACTTTTTGTGAAATGCATCAGAACAAAAGCAGCTGGGTCCTGCTGGGGCTGATCCGAAAGCCTGGCCTCCATCCCTGGAGACACACCTCTACCTCCCCTAGTTTGCAAAGGAGCTGCTGCAAGACCCACAGTCTTACAATCCGCCAGAACCAGGCTGATTTTGGGAAGTCTTTTTTTTGAGGGGGGGGGAGTCTTATTCCATGTCCTTTTATCTTTCCAGCACCGCCCTTTTGAGATGAGTGTCGGCACCATACCCCCATTTCACAGATGAGCGGCTGAGGCTTACCCAGAGATGGAACTGACCTAGTTTTCTAATTCCCAGCCTCCGACTCTTTTAACCGATGTGTTTTTTTACCCTCTAGTCACCTAAGAAAGCCAAGAAGAGAGCAGAGGGAGCCAATTCCAATGTGTTCTCCATGTTTGAACAGACCCAGATCCAGGAATTTAAGGAGGTGGGTGCAGCTGGGTGGAGATTCCCACATGCTAGAAAGAGCCTTTCCCTCATTCCATATTCCCTGCAAGGACCTCTCAGTTACGCTGTCTTTGTTTTCATTCTGTTGTTGTTGGCTGTCCCATGCCACCTGTGGTATCTCAGTTCCCCAACCAGGAATCGAACTCACACCCCTTGCAAAGGAAGTGCAGAGTCTTAACCCTTGGACCAGCAAGGAAGTCCTAGCTTGTCTTTATCCTCCCCAAAACACCCCAAATTTGGTCTGAACATGTGTATGAATGACTTAAAGAAATTAACTTTTGCTGATCATCAAAACAAAGCCTATGTCTTGTTGAAAATGTAGGAATGAATTTCAGAAATGCATGAAGAATAAAAATGACCTGACTTATAATTCTATGACCCAGAGATGATCAGTTAACATTTTGATATATGCCCTGCCAGTGGTTTTTGTTATGCACGTATTTGTTAAACAAAGTGACCATCTTCTATGCACACTAATCTATACCTGTTATTTTTCCTTGAGCAATTCAGCACCAACATTTTCCATCATTTATTTAAATCGCCTCCTATGGTTAGATGTTATGTTTAGAATGCTTTACTATTATAATTAACACCCTTTGCTTGTATCTCTGGTTATTTCCTTGGGGTAAATTCCTAAAAGCGGAACAGTTGGATCGAAGGGACTTTTTTTTTTTTACAAAAGGAACTAAAACCAAGTACAACCACTGATCCAAGCTGCCCTCCAGAAATCCTGTGCTCACTCTGACTCCCATCAGCCCCAAGAGGAGAAGGTGCCTTTCCTGCCACATCTCCATCAACACTGGGTGTTAACATCTCAAATATGATTTCTGCCAGTCAGAGAGATATCTGAGAGTATCTGAGATATTAATTTTTACCGTCTTAATTGTTGACTGCTAGCTGGGTCTGAAACCCTATCCCAGTCTATGGGGATGTGCCTTCGTAAGCAAACCTAAGTACCAATTACGTAAAATTAAACCACTGCTGCAGACTCAGAATACACTGAATTAATTTTCCAGCCATCCTGATGGCTCACACTGAGTTATCTACTCTCTCACCTGGCCCTTCAGAGGAAAACACACTAAAGCCAAGCTGGAGAGGCCACAGTATTTTATATGAAAGGAGAAACCACTGGGGGCTTCCAATGGGACATGAAGACTTGCCCCTTCTGTCCCCACCAGCATTCAGATCACAGGAACATCACACCCCACAGGCTGCCAGGGAGAGAGGAATTCCTGGGATGAAATGTCACATCTGAACCTGAAATAGGTCTCTTCCCCGGAGAAGACTACATCCTCCCTTCTCCCTCCCTCTGTCCCAACTTCTGGAATGAGATCAGCTGCTGGGGGCATGACCTGGGGGTGCAAATACTTTCAGGAACCAGTTGTTAAAAGAACTCAAGAAATGCAGATATGATATGTCATTGGTAAAATACCTGGGCATTCACAAAGGTCTTGGAGTTTCCCTCAGAGCCAGCTGGAAAAGATCACTGGCTTCATTTTACAGATAATGTGGGCTTGCGAGTTGGTGAGCAGACTTGTTTTTAACTCATTTTTTTTTCAACAACAGCTTGATAAAGTTATAATTCACATACCATGTATTCTGCCTTTTAAAGTAAGTATACAATTCAGTGGTTATTTAATATAGTCACAGCATTTTGCAACCATCATCATTTATCTAATTTTAGAACATCTTCATCGCCCCCAAAAGAAACCTCATACCCATCAGCAGTCACTCCCCAGTCCCCCCTCCCCCCAGCCCCTGACAACCACTAATCTATTTTCTGTCTCTAAGGATTTGCCTGTTCTGAATGCTTCATAGAAATGGAATCGTACCCTATGTGGCCTTTTGTGTCTGGCTTCTTTCACTTAGTATCATGTTTCAGGGTTCATCCATGTTGTAGCATGTGTCAGAATTTCCTTTTTATCGTTGAATGACATTCCACTGTGGGGAGAGACCACATTTGTTTATCCATTTATCAGTTTGGAGCTACTGTGAATAGTGCTGATGTAGACGTTCACACACAGGTGTTTGTATGGTTACGTGTTGTCATTTCTCTTGGGAATACACGGAGGCGTGAAATTGCTGGGTCCTGTAGTAACTCCAGATCTAACACCTAATATCCCTCGATGCTCCTTGAAAACCCCAGAATCCCACTTCCCCAAGCCCTTGGCACAATCTCTGGGACTCCTCCCCACAATTTCTCCCGGGCTTACCAGACAATCACCTTCCTTTCGCAGGCCTTCACCATCATGGATCAAAACAGGGACGGTTTCATCGACAAGAATGACCTGAGGGACACCTTTGCTGCTCTTGGTACGTCACCCCGCACCACCACCCAGCACCAGCTAGGAAGGTCTTCTTATCCCACTCCATGAGGGCAGGAGGTGGGGCTATCAAAAAGGTCAAGAGCTTGTCATTTTGAAACAGCTCAACCAAGATTGGTCTTTAAGGCAAATTTCAGAGGATAGGAAAGAAGTGTTTAGTCTTTGAGTGTCTTAACGTATCTTTTTCTTTTAAAATCATTTTTATGTGGTTTTGAATACAATGGCAGTTTACAATAGAAAACTTGGAAAATTCAGAGACGTATAAAGGAGTAGACAATGTTGCCCACTAGGGCATATTCCACTCTTAACATCTGAGCCTCTAATTTTTTTCCTAGGCATCTCGTGTGTGTGCATGCTTATTAGTTAGACTCATTCTATTTTGGATTCAGCTTTTAAAATTTAACATCTCAGTAGGGTGATCATGAGTACATGGAATTGTTTCAAAATATAAGTGTCCAATCTGTCACCTCCTCCTCCATTCCTACCCCCAGAACTCAGTTCCGTGAACAGTTGGGCAGGTTTTGTACTGAGCAATTATAGAGTACTATTTGCATTTGTAGCCACTGTAGATTATTAATTTAAAACATAAGTTATCTTAATAAGGGGTGGCTTTTTCTAATTTATACAAACATACTATATGGGCTTGTGACAGTGGCTAGGATAGGTATATCAGAATCTCCAAGGCTGTGTGGGTTAGAGCAGATATAATTTGAAAAAGTTCCCTCGAATTCTGATCTGTGTCTCCCACCTCCAAGTGAGAAGGGCTAATTTTATACTATGAGGATTTCTTATTCGAGTAAAACATTAAAACATCTGTATAAAATGTTCCAGGTCCTGAAAGTACAGTTTTAAAAATAACTAAACCCTCTTTGGGTTGTTTCCAGTTGTCTGGTTATTATAAATAACACTTTTGAGAACATCTCACGTGAATCTCTGGCCCGTCTACTCTGTCTCCGATTATTCCTAGACAAGATTCCTTGAAGTAGGATTACAAGGACAAATGCCAGTGTCCTGACAGCTGTTTCTGTCCCAGTTCAGAATCGCTGAGTGTCTGTCTCCTGCTCTAGGGCGTGTGAACGTGAAAAATGAGGAAATTGATGAAATGCTCAAGGAGGCTCCAGGTCCAATTAACTTTACTGTGTTCCTACAAATGTTTGGGGAGAAACTTAAGGGTAAGTTCATGTGTATTTCTGTTCATCTATGTCTGTATATGTATATATCTGTGTGTGTTGGTTTGTGCACCTATGTGTGTCTGTCTTTGTGTGTTCTTCATCTTTGGGCATCAATTAAAAGCAGTAGGAGAACATACAAGAGTTGGCAGATGAAGGCAATGTAACATAGGTGAGGGAGAGAATAAAAAGAGCAGTTAATAGTGCTCCAAGGTTTACCTTAATCCAGACCTCATACAAAGCACTTTAAATGCATTATATGCATCACCTTAGTCTAAGACGTAGGTTCTCTTCTTATCCTCATCTACAGAAGGGGAACTGAGACTCAGAGACGGAAAGTCACTTGCCTGAAGCTACACGGCTAACAAATGCTGGAGTCAGGATTCAAATCCCAATCTTTCTAAGTCTAGATCCATGCCTGACCTTGGGTTTGCTCCAGAAATAACTGGATTCTCAGCCCACGCTTTCAAAACACCAAGGCTCGGTGCTCAGAAGTGGTGAGGCCTTTCTTCCTTACCCAAGATTCTTAGCCACCCATAGCACATCAACCCCATTTTCTGTTGCAGGAGCAGACCCCGAGGAGACCATTCTCAATGCGTTCAAAGTGTTTGACCCTGAAGGCAAAGGAGTGCTCAAGGCTGATTAGTGAGTGGGATGTGAGTGGTGGGAGGGGGACCTGGGGGTTCCTTGCTTCTCCCCACAGCCCTCCCCACAAAGCCAGGGCAATATCTGCTTTTCTCTCTCTGCAGTGTCAAGGAGATGCTGACCACGCAGGCGGAGAGGTTTTCCAAAGAGGAGGTAACAGGCCCCCTTCAGACACCCTCTGTACCCAAGTTACCGGCCTCACCTTTCTAGGGACTCCAGCTCCAGACTCTCTTACATAAAATAGCCCTGACCCCACACTAAGAGAGAATCCGCTCTCGTTTACTGAGCCCTTACCTCATTCATTCTCTCAATCACCCTGTGAGGTAGTGACTAGCACTACGGTCATTTTACAGATGGTGAAACTGAGGCTCAGGGAGGCAAAGTTACTAGCTTAAAAGAACAACACTAATGGGAAATGCCGGGTCCTAGATCCAAACCTCTGTCTGACTCCAGGTCCTGCCTTCCTCATAACACATTGAGACCCGGTGACAGCATCAATTTCCTGATGGACTGAAGGTGTCATGCAGGGTGACCATGCATCGTTGTGTAGGTTGTACACTGCACAATCCTCCTGGATGCCCTTAGTAATATATACTGCAGAGTATCTATTTGTTGCAAGTTTTTTCCAGCAGATGGCAGTCAAGTGTCTTGCTATAATTTTCTAAAAATCAGAACCTAAGACTCTTTCTGGCAGGTGGCAGTAATGTGCCTGGAAGAAGGGGCACTATTGCTATCAATAATTCATCAAAGGCCCTGTATGAACAAGCAACTGTCTTGTCAACATTGCTAATTAATCTTAATGAATCTATTTAAAATATTCCCTTGTAGCCTCTCAGGCCTGATTCTGTGAAGTTTCACATTTTACTAAAAATTTTATTTGAATTTCCTCCTTAAAATTCAAGCAGTTGAAAGAGCCTACCTTTCAACTCCCACCATCTTCATGACTTCGGACAAGCTCCTTAACCTCACTGTGCCTCAATTTCCTCATCTGTATAGTGGGGACAATAATAGAATCTACTTTATAGTATACATGACGATTAAATGAGTTCAAATGTATAAAGTGCTGGTACGTGAAAAAGGTAATATGTGTTAGCTATTATTAACCCCAAATTAAAAAAACAATAATTAGCCAATATTCTTTAAGGACTTCCTGGTGGCTCAATGGTAAAGAATCCTGCCAATGCAGGAGACTCGAGTTTGATCCCTGAGTCAGGAAATCCCCTGGAGAAGGAAATGGTAACCCACTCCAATATTCTTGCCTGGGAAATCCCGTAGACAGAGGAGCCTGGTGGGCCACACTGCATAGGGTTGCAAAAGAGTCAGACACAACTTAGCAACTAAACAAACTAAAAAAATTTTTTAATGTAGAAATTACACATAAAAAAATTTAAATTTCCAATTTCCCTCAAAGAATCTAATTCCTCAAAGAGTCTGACCCCCTTGCCCACATGGCCACAAGGGCTGGCCCTGAGGAGTTACAACCTCTGCAGACAGACTGTGTCTCCATTTAACCACGGTCCCTACCAGGCCCACTGTGCTCACCTACATAACCTGCCTGCCTCTTTGCACACACAATTGAGCTTGCAATCCCTGCTTTCCCCATTGCAGGCTGGGTACCTAGGAACATCCCTGCAGGATGGCCCTTGGGGTCAGCACCTGGGGAAGAGCTAGGAAGGGCAAGGAAGCAGGAGGGCAGGGAGAGAGATGCCCATGGCACCCCATATCCTCCAGGCCCCAGCTGCCTCTCCACTTGGGCCGCCCTTCCCCCCAAATCCTCAGCACGTCTTGCTGGTTTGTTGCAGATTGACCAGATGTTTGCCGCCTTCCCCCCTGATGTGACTGGCAACTTGGACTATAAGAACCTGGTGCACATCATCACCCACGGAGAAGAGAAGGACTAAGAGAGTGGCTTGCTTTTGGGTGGGCAGATGGGGGTATCCTTGCCCTCTTCTCATTTTGCCCAGTAATGCACCACCCCCGACCCTGGCCAGTTGGTCATGTGGCTGCCTCATTTATCCACCTCCATCTTCTTTGCAGCCTGAGTGCCTTAGAGCTACCACATGACCACACAGCTGGCAGATGGAAATTCACCCAGAGTCTGTGTTCAAATAAAAAGGAGGTCGTGTATTTGTTCATGGTGTGTCCTTGAGTAAAGAAGACCCTTTGCTAGTTCCCATGAAGGCAGTATATGAGTTAGGGACAGCACTGCTGTCATTATTACTGAATCTTAGTGACAGTTGCAGATTGACCAGATGTTTGCCGCCTTCCCCCCTGATGTGACTGGCAACTTGGACTATAAGAACCTGGTGCACATCATCACCCACGGAGAAGAGAAGGACTAAGAGAGTGGCTTGCTTTTGGGTGGGCAGATGGGGGTATCCTTGCCCTCTTCTCATTTTGCCCAGTAATGCACCACCCCCGACCCTGGCCAGTTGGTCATGTGGCTGCCTCATTTATCCACCTCCATCTTCTTTGCAGCCTGAGTGCCTTAGAGCTACCACATGACCACACAGCTGGCAGATGGAAATTCACCGAGTCTGTGTTCAAATAAAAAGGAGGTCGTGTATTTGTTCATGGTGTGTCCTTGAGTAAAGAAGACCCTTTGCTAGTTCCCATGAAGGCAGTATATGAGTTAGGGACAGCACTGCTGTCATTATTACTGAATCTTAGTGACCCTTTACTTAAAACAGATCTTTAGGGACTTGGGACCCTGCTGGTAGTCCAGTGGTCACCAGCAGTTCCTGGTTCTTGTCTATCTCTTCAGCAATCCTAGTGGAAAGAGGACACCTCTCTCTCTCTCTCTCTCTCTCTCTCTCTCTCTCTCTTTCCCCACCAGCTCCACACAAATCCCAAAACAGGGCCTATGCAATACCTGAACCAACCCTGAAACAGGTGCAGTACTCTGACTAGCAGACTTGCTCGTATGATCAACCCTCACACAGGGGTTGAAATCAGTCCCTTCCAAACCTTACATGGCCTGAGGGTAGGAGGGGCCATTCCCAAAGGAAAGTCCAGATGTATTTTAGGAGGAAGGGGGAGTAGATGTCAGGTAGTCTAATTTTTCAAGGGAACCCCAAGAACCTGGAACCTAGCCAAAGAGAAAGATGTACTGGGAACAAAGAGCTGAAGCTGGGATCAAAGTGGCAACTGGGGTCACCTAGAGGGAATGAGAGGGTCTGGGTGGTTGGAGGAGCCAGAACTGGAGTGAGTCTTTAAGGTTCAAGAACAATAACAGAGAACCCCCCAGAGGAGAAGCTCAGGGTATGCTCCAATGACATCACCTGCTGGGAAATGGGGTTCCTTTCAAGCCAACTGGGAGGCAGGGACTCAGGACCCCCATGCCATGCCATGATGACCCTTCATGATCCACACCCTGTGATGACCCATGCCCCCCTCACATCCAGAACCTGTGACCTGGGGCTCCTGCAGAGACAAGGCCAGGCCCAGGAGAGGCCCCAGCTCATGGCACTCAAATGGAGTTTGTATTTCAGGACAAGACATCCTGGACACAGCTCTACAGTGATACACTCATCCATGCAACCCTCCCACGCACAGATACAGACACAGGGCCTCCACGGCTCCCGGTTCCCACCGGTGAGTCTGCTGCACCCTATGTGGTTCGACGACGTGAAATCAGTATTTTGGCTCCCATGGGGCCCCTACACTTCACCTGGTGAGCCGTGATGCGGGGGGTACCATCTCAAGGGTAGTCAAGGGCCACGGTGACCTCACACCACTCTTGCCACCTGTGCCAGCTTTCGATCTCCACCCTCCTGCTCCTCTACCCCATCCTGGGGAGCTGCCAGTGCCCCAGTCTCTCAGTAATGAGTGTGGAAGAGGCACTGGGGTTACAGAACAAAACATTTACTCTCTCTAGTTATGTACGAATGGCCAGAGCCGCCTCAGACTGTTACCTTCCTCTTGGACTTCACCTCGTCCCCTTTTTCAGGCATGCTGTCCCTGTTTCGAGACTCTCTTGTGGTGTAGTGGTTGAGTACCATTTGCCGAAGGCTGCTGTGGTCCAGGGGCTGCTCCACTGCACCAAAGACGGGACTCGGTGTGAGGAGTTCAAAAATCAAATCCAGCACGGCAGGGGGGTGCGCTTCCTTCCCAGGGCTAATGCCTCTTTGCTCTGTTCAAGGAACTCCAAGCCTGGTTTGGTGACCCTCCAGAGCAGTGGGGGTTGAAGTGTGAACATTCTCCAAGTTCAGGGAGAGGGAGGACAGGCAGAGATACACTGCTCAGGGATGGTCAGACAATAACTGTCTTTTTCTCCCAGACGAGGATGTGAAGGTGAGTTGGATTTAATATCAAAGAGACAGGGCCACCATGTGCAGTTGCTCAGGATGTAGACTACACAAAGACACCTGTTTCTGCAGGGCTGAACACACCCCCACACACACACCTGATTGCCAAGCTACATGGATCTAGCAGAGGTGGCTTTCCCTAATTAATCTGCCTAGAGGGGCTTCCCTCTTCTAATTCACACATGCAAGCCATAGAGGCTAGTGGGCTAAGAGAACCCAATGTTTATCAATATTCCCTTGAACAGAAATGAAGATATCATCTGTATATTCCTGACCTTGTGAGGACAGTGTTATCAATGGCTGTTCTCTGCCACCCTCCTTGTTTAAGAACTCAAAGGGTCAAGGAAAGCTGTGCTAAGGTGGCTGACACCAGCCCTGGTTTTCACTCCTGCTAAGTCTCAGTTGCCTTGAGTAAATCAAGCAAATGTGTGTACACCTATGCATCTCTGCATGCACACATATTGGCAGTTCCCTCCCTCCATTCTTGGCACACCTGCACACTTGAAATGTTGCTCACAGAAGAGGGGGAACTTTTTTAAAAACCAATTTTTTCCCTCTGGTTACTCAAATCACACAAGGTCACTGTAAAAGAAAATTCTAAGCAATGACAGAATTAACTCAGAAATACAAAGTTCTCTGCAACCCACCACCCAGAAATACCCACTGTAAGTCAGCATATACCTCTTCATTTTTATATGTATAATCAAGATATTTTCCTCTCCTTCTTCCTCCTTCTCCTTCCTTTTCTCTCTCCCCCTTTCTCTCCTATGTACCAGGTTGTGAAAGGCTGTCTTGTTCACCGTAGGTTTTACGTAGCATCCCTGGTTACTAGATGCCATATACACATATGTCAGTTCATGTCAGTCCACAGCATTCTTTTTAGTGGCTGCATAGTATTCCATCACATGCACGGGTGAACTATAACTTATTTAACCAATCTCTAATGGGTGAGCATTTCAGTCATTTCCAGTTCGGCTGCCCTCCTACTTCCACCTTCGACCCCTGAGTAAGTTTTTCTCTGAAGGACCAATCCCCACAAGCAAGATTACAGACTCTACGCGTATATCTGAAACAGGGTAATTATTAGCTAAGCCCATTTCACCTGTAACCTTCCTTCACTAATCAAGATCATTTTATCATTGGTACAAATGTCTCGCTTGTCCTCCAGGCAACATGTAGCCTAAACAATGTGTCTGCCTGAGTTGTTTTCTAGGAGCTTGGGTCCAGCTGTGTCTAGTTCCAGCTGAGCAGGTTAACCCTGGATAGAATCACAGTCCTCCCACTGAGCACATGCGAGAGCTGCTGGATGACATCTTGAACACACAGAGGCCCACACTGAATTACACCTACAGAACCAGGGTCAGGGCACCATTTTCCAATCACCTTTCCCCACATGCTCCATGCCTCAGATCACCCGGCATCTTTAGTCTTTATCCCATAAACACCAGAGCCCCTTGCTTTCCGGGAGGTGGATTTTGGAGATTTGTCTCCCCATCTCCTCTCCTTGGCTTTGTGAACTTGCGAATGAATCACCCTCTCTCTGCTGACCCGCCATGTCTTGGCCTGGCTTGCTGCGCATCGCAAAAACGCAACCTGGCTCAGTAACATAACCACGTCTCAACCTTCCTGAACATGTTGCCAAACTACCCACCAAACACCATGTGGGGCCAGACTTTACCCCCACCTTCAGAGAGAAGGGCTAGTTCCCTCAAGCCCCGCAAACCGCAGTACCACCAGCTTCTGCCTCCAAAAGCAAAGAAGGTCAATGTGCCTGTGCCCGCAGGGCCATAGTTAATCTCTAGTGTGAAGCAAGTCTCAGTTGCTTCAATCATGGGGTGGGGGGACACAGATGCGGTTGGGGAAAGGAGGTCACACGTGGAGCGAGAGTCAAGAGCATACAGTGAGGGTAGGAGACAGGATCAGGGAATCTTGTCTGCTCATAACTTGCCAACTTGGAAATTCTGGCTATTTTAAGGTTCGTGAAATGGTCACAGAGTAGTTGTAATTTTTTAAAGTATCTGAGATAATTAAACTTCAGAATCTGTAGCTTTGTCATCATGCTGTAGAAAGAAAATTCCAGGTAAGAAAAGAACTCACCTTCATCCAACTTGTCACTAAAGGGGTCAGCCCCGAACACTGGGGGGATGACCTTGATGGGTTCTGCAGGCTTGAGGAGGGCGGAGCCGCCCCAGAAGGGGTTGAGGAAGGATGGCTGGACCTCCGCCTCTGCCACTTCCATTTCCATAAGCCGCTTGTAGGATTCTAACACCAGCAAGTCATTGGTCTTCTTCTCAATGATGGCTGGAAAAAAGGCGTAATCAAGAAGTTTGCCAAAGAGACCTGGGCCCTCGGGGAACTAGAGGCAGTGCTCCCTGCTGGAGAGGAAGGGAAGTAACAGGAAGCAGGCAGGTCATGAATGCCTATAAGGACAAGGGCTTTCTCTTGAGTTATATCACTCATTCCCTAGAGAGCACAATTTGGTTCTTGAGAGGCAAAACCAATCTGACTCTTTGATGTATAAGGCACGGATATACATAAAAAACATGAACAGTTATATGGTATATCAACTGTATGAAAATTCCATAAGGAAGAGCAGTTAGGAAAAGTATGTCTGAAAAGGCTCCATAGGGGACAATAATAAAAAGAAGGTTGAGGAATATTTTTTTAACACTAAAAACTGGGAGCCATGGGCAAACTCTGCCTTAAACTACTGATCTTTTCCTCAGTGCTCTGAGTTTGGGGGAACTGTCCTTCCCAGTGTGTTTCACAGCCCCATGGAGTCACCAGAATAATTCATTCATTCATTCATTTATTCATTTATTCCACAAATGATTATTGGATGCTTATCAGACTGGGCATGGTGCCTGAGACACCACGATGCACGGAGGGAAAAGAGTGACCATAAACAATAACAGAGATGCAAACCTTGTCCTGATGAAGCTCATAAGCTTCAGTGTGAATGGGAAGATGGACAGAAAGGCAAATTCAGCAAATAAATACACATACTCCTCACTATCCAGATGCTTGTTATCTGAATTCAGTAACTATTGGATTTAAGTTTTTTTTTTAATTTCACATAACGCATACCGTTTCTCTTCTCTCTGAAAATCAGGGACCAAAAAGATTCACATCTGAAACTTGCTATTGGTTCTCAAGAACCTCCTCTATTCACACAACGAGAATTACCTGTATATAGAGACAAACTAGGCAAGGATTAAATAATAGAACTGCTATGAGAGTGAGTACCAGACCACCTGACCTGCCTCTTGAGAAATCTTTATGCAGGTCAAGAAGCAACAGTTAGAACTGGACATGGAACAACAGGCTGGTTCCAAATAGGGAAAGGAGTACATCAAGGCTGCTTATTTATTGTCACCCTGCTTATTTAACTTATATGCAGAGTACATCATGAGAAAAAAGAGGTGACTCATTTGAAAAGGCCCTGAAGCTGGGAAAGATTGAAGGCAGGAGGAGAAGGGGACGACAAAGAATGAGATAGTTGGATGGCATCACCGACTCAATGGACATGAGTTTGAATAAACTCTGGGAGTTGGTGATGGACAGGGAAGCCTGGCGTGCTGTAGTCCATGGGGTCACGAAGAGTCAGACACAACTGAGTGACTGAACTGAACTGATGAGAGTGAATAACAGTGGATACAGCAGGACCAGCCTCAGATAGAGCAGCGGAGGGGGACTTGCTGGAGAGAGGACATTTAAACTGAGATCTGAGAATGAGGAACTGGGTATGGGATGAGTATCCTAGGAACACCCCATGCAAAGGCCCTGAGGTAGAATTTTTGGGGGGAGAGATTTGGAAATACAAAGAGGAGAACAGTGTGGCCACAGGAAGTGAGCAGAGAGGAAGAGCAGGAAAAGAGATGATGGAAAGTGTAAGCAAGGGGACTTCCCTGGTGGTCCACTGGTTAAGAACCCACCTGCCAATGCAGCAGACACCAGTTCGATCCCTAGTCCAGGAAGATCCCACATGCCCAAGGCAACTCAGCCTGTGCACCACAACTACTGGGTCTGAACATCCTAGAGCCTGTGCCCCACAACAAGAGAAGCCATTGCAATGAGAAGCCCATGCACTGCAACTAAGAGTAGCTCCCTGCTCACCACAAGAGGAAGCCTGCACACAGCAATGAAGACCCAGGGCAACCAAAAATAAATAATAAGTAGATGAATTTTTAAAAAATGTAAGCAGGGGCCAGCCTATAAAGAAGTTGATAGGCTGCACGTAAGAAAGAGTTAATACGGCAAAGTCTGACTGCTCTCCTTGGAAAAGGTTGCTTAGCAGTTTGGTCCTTGGACAGTATCATGGAACTTGGATTTCAGGAAGGTCCCCACCACCATTAACTGTTAAGAGAGGCTCATCATGCCTTTGTTGTTCAGTCACTCAGTCACATCCGACTCTTTGAGATCCCATGGACTGAATCACACCAGGCTTCCCCGTCCTTCACTACCTCCCAGAGTCTGCTCAAACTCATGTCCCCTGGGTCGGTGATGCCAGTATGCTTAATCTGTGTATTAAAAAATTTAGCTTATGCTATAAATACTTGCTCTTCTTTCTGGGGTCTGGAACTGGGATATGTGCCAGGCTGGAGGTGTCTGTATGATCAGCCCCCATCCTAACCCTAAGTGATGAGTATCCAATGAGCTTTTCTGGTTGACACCATTTCACTTGTGTTGTCACAACTCATGGCTGGGGGAGATTAAGCACATCCTGGGAGAGGACCCTTGGAAGCTTGCTCTTGATTTCCTCCATGCTTTCCCCCAAGCTCCTTTATCTTTACTGATTTTGCTTTGTACCTTGTGGCTATAATAAATCATAGCCATGAGAATATAACGATATGCTGAATCCAGGAGCCCTCCTAGTGAATCCCTGAAACTGACGGGAGGGAGGCATCTTGGGAACCTCCCAAACACAGATGGTATTAAGAACCTTCGATTCTATTCTAAGAGCAGTGGAAGTCATTCATTCTAAACTGGCATGATCTCTGCGGGTACATCTCCCTCTCTCTCCTGAGCTCAAGGCCTAGAAATGTGTATTACAGTTAATAGGCATTTGCTACATGCCAGGCACTGCTCTGAGCACTTTATTTCTTTCTTCCCAATCTGAATGCTTTTCATTTCCTTTTATTGCCTTACTGCATTATCGAGGCCCACCAACATAATATTGAATAGGAGTTGTGAGAGCAGACATCCTTGCCTTGCTCCTGATCTTAGAAGAAAAACATTGCTTTTTTTCATCATTAACTATGAGGTTAGCTGCAGGTATTTCTGGAGATGCCTTTTATCAGGTAAGGAAGTTTCCTTCTAGTTCTAGTTTGTTGAGAGGTTTTTTTTTATTATGAATGGATATTGAATTTTGTCAAATATTTCCTTCTATATCTATTCACATGATCCTGTAACTATTTCTCTAAGAACTACTTATTTATTTAACCTTCCCAACATTTTTTAGATGAAGAAACTGAGGCACAGAGAGGTTCAGAAGATTGCCCAGAAAATTCCCTGATGGTCCAGTGGTTAAGCATCTGCTTTCCAGTACAGGGGATGCAGGTTTGATGCCTGTTCAGGGAACTAGCATCCCACATGCCATGGGGTAACTAAGCGCTACAACAAAGATCCCAATTGCCGTAACTAAGACTCGATGCAGCCAATAAAGAAATATGAAACACATGCACAGACTCAAAAATCCATGTTTAAAAAAAAAAAAAAAAAAAACAGTTGCCCAAAGTCACACAGCTAGTAAGAGTAGAACCACAGTTTGAACTCAAGCAGGTTGGCTTTAGTGCCCACAGGCTTCACCACCAGGCTCACTGCCTCCAAAAGAACAAGTCCTGGTGCCTGCTCATAGAAATCTCTGGAAATGGTTGCTAAGAGTCTAGTGGGCTTGACTCACCAAAGTACTGCGGGAGGTTGGTATCCGTGATTTTCCCCGTCTCCCCTAACTGCACCAGGATCTTGGTGGCATCACAATTTATCTTCTTAAACAGATTCTCCACCGAGGTCTTGAGATACTCCAAGGTCTTGCTGATCTCCCTGTAGTTGTTCTCGTACATGTCTGCCTCCTCCGTGGTCTTCTTTAGCTTCTCCTATGGCAGACCCCCAGTTCCCATCCAGGTCAGCCAGGTGGCCACTCTGGCTGGGCTCAGCCCTCACAGGTGAGAGTCTGAAACCAGGGTCTCCAAACTGCAGGTTTGCAAACCTCTAAGGGGCTTTCCTTGTGGCTCACACAGTAAAGAATCCACCTGTGGTGCAAGACACCCAGGTTCGACCCCTGAGTCGGGAAGATCCCCTGGAGAAGGGAATGGCAACCCACTCCAGCGTTCTTACATGGAAAATTTCATGGACAGAGGAGCCTGGCAGGCTACAGTCCATGGGGTCGCAAACAGTCAGACATGACTGAGAGACTGAACTGAACTGAACTGAGCGACTAACACTTTTCACACAAAGGGTTGCAAGAACAATTTAATGGGCCTCAATCCACATTTTTTTAAGTGAAATAAAATAAATCAGAAAATAAAGGAAGAGAGGAGAAAATACTAGTATGCACTGGAAGTAGTGAGGATAGATATTGTCTAATATAAAGATTTGTTTCACTTACAGATGTGTATGTGTGTCTGCATGTCTACTGGGTTGCAGCTTTTTTTAAAAACTGTTGTCTCATTTAAAAAAAATTAAGGCCCACGGGAAGAAATATATTTTACATTGCAGTCCAATATATTCACACACTGTTTTCAGTCGCTAAATTGCGTCCAACTCTTTGTGTCCCCATGGACTGGAGCGCACCAGGGTTCCCTGTCCTCCACCGCCTCCCAGAGTTTGCTCAAGTTCATGTGCATTGAGTCAGTGATGCCATCCAACTATCTCATCCTCTGCCGCCTTCTCCTTTTGCCTCCAATTTTACACGTGTATTTATATACATTTATCTAATCAAATGAAATTAAAGTTTCACAAATCAATATTCTTATTGTGTGTTCTAACATTTTCCATTCTGTTCTGTTCTATTCCATCTTGTTATCTTTAAATGCTGGTGGCAATCCAATAAACCGATTTCATCATTCAGTTTAAATCATATTACTAGAGACCAGTGGTTCTCAAAGTGGCGTCCCAGGACAAGCAGCATCAGTTCCATCAGGGAACTTGTCAGAAATGCAAGTTCCCAGGCTCCAGTCCAGACCAACTGAATCAGAGGCTCTAGGTGTAGGCTCAGCAATCTGTGTTTAATGAACCTCCAGATGGTCCTGATACATGGTAAAGTTTGAGAACATCTGTGAGTCCACTGGATCACAATTTCAGTTTCACATTGGTATTACCTGGGAGCATTAAAACATTGGCTACGCAGACCCCAGCCTCAGACATTCAGACATCTTGGTCTGGAGTGCAGCCTCGGCACTGGAAGCTTTAAAGCCTCCAAGGTGATTCTGACTTGCAGCCCAGACTGAGAATCGCTGCTCTAGGATAAATGCTTTGATGGTTTCCCACCTCTCTCCCTGGTTCTCAGCTTGCAAAGGTGAACTGGGCCCTAGAAGGATCAGCCTTGTCCCTACCAGCTCCACATGGACCATTCCAAATAAGGATCCCACAGGGCCCTACCCACATGCCCATTTCCAGGTGAGGGAACTGAGGTTCTGAGGCAAGGGAGAGGGAAGCTGTGATTTGAACTGTCTCTCAACCACCACACCAGGCAGCTTCCTCTGTCCCAGCCACTGGAATATTCAGTTCCCAGGGCTGAATTTCCTCATATGTCAGCCAGAGCCCCTCCTCTCATTCTAAAGGTGCAGTAAAAGATCACATAGTTAAAAACGCTTTTTAATAGCCTGATGTGGTGTTGATAACACATGTATGTGTGTGCATGCTCAGTCATGTCCAACTCTCTGTGATCCCCTAGATTGTAGCCCACCAGGCTCCTCGGTCTATGGAAATTTCCAGGCAAGAATACTGGAGTAGGTTGCCATTTCCTCCTCCAGGGGATCTTCCCAACCCAGGCATCGAACCCTTGTCTTTTGTGACTCCTGCATTGGCAGGCAGATTCTTAACCACTGTGTCACCTGGAAAGCCTGATAACACATGTCCAGCACCTAAAATGTTCCAAGTACTTTACACACATCTTCTTAACTAATCCTGACAATTGTCCCAGTTTTCAGATGAGGAATACTGAAGTCAGAGAAGAAAAGTGAACTTGTGCTTACCTCATCTGTGTTGAATTGTCTAAGAACCTTACCTTGGGCTCTTTATTTAAGCAATTATTTAGTAACAAGATGATGGTGACTTGAGGTTTTATTGACTTACAGGATAAACAACAATAATGATAGTTATGTTTATAGCTCTCTGCCCTGCAGTATGCCAAGCGTGTACATGCAGGATTTTATTCAATCTTCACAGCCCTACAAAGTGAGTACAATTATTATTCCCATTTCACAAGTGAAACTGAGGTTCAGAGAGGTTAAATCAACTTTCTGAAAGTACTAACGTCAGGAAGTAACTCTTCTGGGAATCATACCCAAGCCTTTGTTCCCAGGACCTGGATGCTTAATTTCTATGCTAAACCTCCTGTGAAAGGACTGATTCCACCACTTGCCTTAGAGGGGACAACAAATGGAAGGTAAATAGAAAGGTTTCAAGAGTAAAGGAGATGGGCGTGATTTTTAGTAGGGGGTAAGAAAAGGGGGTTCTAGGTGAGCCCATTGCTATTAAGACAAATTCTCTTGCTAAGAGTATTTGCATTTGAAAAGAGGCTCCAGGAAAACCCAAGGAACAAAGAGTTACTGGAGGACTTCAGACAGAGGTGGGGCAATGCTTGGGGTTGTCTGGTCAGCCTCCCCAAGCTGTATCCCCCATTAGGTCTTCAAAACCCCAAGATGCAGAGCAGCAACAGTCCCAACTCCAAGGAAGTATGTGGACACTGGGTGGCCAAGAGTCAAGGATGTGGGATGCCAAGCACGTGTCCAACTTGAGGGGGGTCTCTTGAACTTGGGCCCTGCCTGCAAGTCTACTTTCCCCATTCCTGAATCCTGAGAGGTTGCTGAGCCTGAGAGGTGCTTTGCTGCCCTCCAGTGGTGCATTAGAGAATGGCAGAGCCATCCCTGTCTACCACCTGCAATGCCAAGAACAAAAATCAACTACAGAAAAAGGAAGGGAAACAACCCATGAGCATGGTTCCTGGGACAGGAACTCCTGGATTAGAACAGGGCTTTGCAATCAAACTCTGTGGTTCATATATTTCTCGGACATTTGCTATTCATTCTCCCCTTATACCTTAATAACAAAATGGTTATCATTTCAGTGTAGCAATGTGCCAACTAAAAGTTGTATTTCCAACCATCCTTTGAAATAGGAATGGCCAGTAAGACACAGATACAGATGCTATTGACTGAGAATTCAAGGAAAGAACTTTTAAGCTGACTAACTCAATCAGCAAGGCCTTTTTTTCCTTCCCTACTTTCTTTCTGCTTGGAATGTATATGTGATGGCTGTACCAAAATACAAGCATGAGGCATCGTTGTAAATGTAAGCCACACACTAAAGATGGCAAAACTGGAAGGAGAAGACTGATTTACTGATAACACCATGACCAACCCTAAAGTGCTAGTCTCCAGATTTACATTTTAACAAGTAAATAAACTCCTATTGCATAGACCACTGTCATTTTGGGTCCCTATTATTAGCAGCTGAATGCAATGCAAAGCTCATACATTATCGCAACTCCATGATGATGGTGATTGCTTCTCTGAACCTCAGTTTACTCATCTGTAAAATAGATCATATCACCTACTTCATAGTGTTGCTGTGAGGATTAAATGAGATAGTGCAAGCCAAGCTCTTAGCCCAGTATCTTGTGCATAGTAATTGTTCAGGAAATGTTCGTAATTACTATTATTGATTGAGAACAGGCCACAGCTAGAACAAGGAAGAGAGAGAAGTAAAGACAGAGGCAGAGATCTGTTTGGAACTCACCAGTCAGGGATGGAATTACAGGCACAAGGGCCTGGGATAGGCTTCCTGAAGTGGGAGAGTCTTTAAAATCGAAAAAGAAAGCCTTTGTCCTTTTTAGGAACAAAATTTTGCAGCAACATCTGTAGCAGAGGCTGCCTGTGACAAGGGGTCAGAACATGTCAAGACATGACTCAGGCCAGTAGTCACAGGACAGGCATCTTACTCCTACTGACAATCAACTGACAGGCCATCAGACAGACAACAGAGACTCCCATATCCCTCCCTCCCCACTGGTCTTACCTCCAGCTCTCTCAGGATAGAGTAGCTATCATCATGCGATGATTTCTGCTGGGATCGCAAGTGCATGATCTCATTCTGCTCAGGAGAGAACCAGACCATAAGGAAAAGCAGTGTCCCCCTTCCTAGCACACCTCAAAATAAGCCAGTGCCTTGAAGAGTTGATGAGGACTTATTTAATTTTTAAAAAATATCTAGAATATATTTTATTTTTAATTGGAGGATAATTGCTTTACAATTTTGTGTTTGTTTCTGCTGTACACAATGTGAATCAGCTATAAGTACACATATATTCCCTCCCTAGTGAGGATTTAAATTATCCATTTCAAGAAACCCCAGAACCCCTGGACCCCTCTTAGGTCCATGGAGGTTTTCTGATGCTTTTTAAATTAAAAGGAGGATGAGGGCATGAGTGGGTGGGTGGTTCGTCCTTTCTAGAGAATTGTCTATAATCAATAGGATTTGCTGCAACAGTAGCCATGTTCTATCTGCACTGTCCAGTACCGCAGCCATTAGCCACACACAGGCACAGAACTCTTGCAATGTGGCTGGGACCAACAAGAAACTCATTTTTAGATTTAACTTAAATTGATTTAAACAAAACTCTCCCATGTGGCTGGTGACTACAGTAATGGACAGACAGCTCCAGAGCAGGGGTTCTACAACTCTACCATGAATCAGAATCACCTAGGGGTTTGTGAAAACACAGACTTCTGGGCTATACATCAGAGCTTCTGATTTAGTATGTCCGGGTGAGGCCCTGTGCTATGCTACGCCTAGTTGCTCAGTCATGTCCGACTCATTGCAACCCCATGGACTACAGCCTGCCAGACTCCTCTGTCCATGGGGATCCTCCAGGCAAGAATACTGGAGTGGGTTGCCATTTCCTCCTACAGCAGATCTTCCCAACCCAGGGATTGAACCCAGGTCTCCCACATTGCAGGTGGATTCTTTACTGTCTGAGCCACCAGGGAAGCCCAAGAATATGGAGTGGATGGTCCATCCCTTCTTCAGGGGAACTTCCTGACCCAGGAACCGAACTGAGATCTCCTGCATTGCAGGTGGATTCTTTACCAGCTGAGCTACCTGGGAAGCCTGGGTGAGGCCCCAGAATGCACATTTCTCTCAAGTTCCCAGGAGATGCTGCCACGGTGGTGGCCCAGGGGCCAGATCTGAGAATTCCAGGGCTAGAACAGTGTGTCCAAATGTAAAAGGCATGCACTTTTTGATGGGGCAATACCATTTCCAGGAATCTGTCCCAAGGAAATAGTAGGACACATGGGTAAAGGTGGCCACTCAAGGCTATCCCTTGAGTTATTATTCATTATATTCATTAGGAACAACCTAAATGTCTACTGGTTGGTGATTGGTTAAGTAAATAATGGTATATTTATATCATGGGGGGAAAGGGTCTCAAATTAAAATACAATTTAAATGCATATTCCAGGCTTATTTTCAGAGAATCTAGGTTTGCAGGTATGAGATAGGGCCTGAGGAATCTGCTTTTTTAAGAAGCATCTTGTGGTATTATTACTACAGAGCATCTAGGGGCCCCAGAAGCCACTACAAAGAACATAGGAATAAAAAGTTTTAAAAGATTATGTAAATTTACTTAAAATACAAGGGGAGAAAACCATAGATGATGTTGGGCAAAACTGTTGGAGAAAAAAAGTTTATAAAACAGCAAGAACTATTTTGTTCGCTGCCACATTACCAGTGTCCTTTGGCCTTCGAAAACCTTCCCTGCGATACTGAAGGTGGCCACCAGAGGGAAGTGGCGAAGCGCCTAAACAGGAGGTGGCACACGCAGAGGCCAACTGGGTTCCTCTTGCTTGAGACTGGCCTGGTCTCCTCAGAGCAAATGAGACCCCAGCTCCTCTCAGCAAAGGAGGGAGAGTGTGGTCTGACCAGTTTATAGGGGCAGTGCACTCAGCTACCTGTGAGAATGTGGGCTGGAGTTGTCAGGTCTGATTTTCCTAGAGAAAGCAGAAATCCACATTTTCATGTGGAATATCCTGATTTTTAAATGTTGGCAACTCACTAATTTTAAAATTTGGGTATGAAGGAGGCCAAACAACAGAACAATGAAGGCTGCATTCATCAGTTTATGACCTGTGACCCCAGCCCTCTAGGTAAGAGTGAAGTCAGATGTTAGAATCCTAAATGTTTTTGACTTAAATCTGAACCCTACTTTGGGCAGAGATGCCACAAGAGGGCAAAGAGATAAGGTCTCAAACATCCCCTCAGTAACTCATCTCACCTCCACCCCCTTCATCCAGAACCACTCCATTTCATCTGTTTTATATACTGATGTTTCCCTATACCCTAGTTTAAACAAAAATTTTGGTAGCTTTTAAACGAAAGCTTGGAAACTACTGCTCCAATCCAAATAAGTCATTCTTGGTGGGGAAATTGAGGTCCAGAGAAGGCAAGAGTTTGGCCCTCTTTCCTCAGACACACTTGTCTTCACAACAGAGACAGGCTGTGTGGTTGAAGAAGAAAGGAGAGTGCCCTCAAGGTGACTGGGAAGGTCAAGGTCAGTTACTGTTAGAGAACCACTGCTCGGGGCCTCCCACTGTGTGCAGGGCAGTCCTGGACTTTGGGGATGAAGAGGGTACACACGAGGGCCTGTCCTCTGAAAGACTGGCCTCCAGAAGAGAAACATAGGGCCACTCAAGCGCCTCTCCCCTTCGCTCTCTGGGTCACCCAGCCAAAGGGAGGCCCCGGCTGCAGAGTGGAAGGACAGCGAGATTGGGGGTGCTTGCCCACCCTCTTGGCGGGTCATTCGTTTGGCCACCTGCCACCAGGAAAGACACACACACAGCCTTCTCCACATTTCTGTCTCCTGGTTCCAGAAACTGCTCCCTCACCTCATCCATTCTGGAGCTCAGCTATGCTATTCTGCACATTCTCTCCTTAATTTCTTTAGACTTTTGTAAAGTCTCTTTTTTAAAAGCTCACCTCTATTTACCCATTTTGGGCATGCCATCTGTTTCCTGTGACAGCCCACCTCCATTTCCACGTGTCACCTGTACTATTATTATCTATTAGTAGCTTTCTTTAAATTGACCAAATTTTGTGTAGTTTGTTTATCATTATTTGCTTACTGTTATTATTACTACCTGGGCTTCCCAGGTGGTGCAGTGGTAAAGAATCCACCTGCCAATGCAGGAGACTCAAGAGGGGCAGGTTCGATCCCTGGATCAGGAAGCTCCCCTTGCCTGAAGAATCCCATGGACAGAGGAGCCTGGCGGGCTACAATCCACAGGATCGCAAAGAGTTGGATGTGACTGAGCAACTGAGCATGCACATACATTACTACTACTTACCACCCTAAGGAATCCTCTCTATAGAATCGCAATGCTCTGCAAGCTATTCTTTCTAATCCTCATTAAAATTGAGTTCATCACTCATTTTGAAAAAATTAAAATGTTTTCCCCTGTCTTCTAGCTACTATCTACTTGCATGTGGCCCCACACTTAGGAAATGGTGACACTGCAAAAGAAAGGGCTCCCCTAGGTTCCCACCCAGCACAGGCACCTCAGAGGGAAGAGTGATGAGTTCTCAGAGGAGGTGACATTTGTCAGGACTAATGAGTGGTATTGCATCAGAAGAAAAGTGGGAGGGGTGGGCAACAGCATGAGGAAAGTTTCAGAGAAGGGAAACGCAGGGGGCAGCTGGGACTGGCAGCTGACGGGAGTGCCTTGAGGGTCGTGATGAGAGCTGAGCCTGCAGGGGCAGGTTGAAGCCAAATTCTGAAAGGACTGGAGTGTCATGCTAAGTTTAGACTCTCTCTGTGCACAGAGTCCCAAAAGCTGTTTATGTGTTTTCTGGGGAGTCAGCAGCTCAGGGAGTCAAGTTTGGAAAATTACAGGTTCAACAAAGGTAGTTTTTTTACTGCAGGACTTATCAGAGCCTTTACTATGCTCATGTACATCAATTCTCTCCAAGATCAATTTACCATCTTTCCTCAATTCTACAAAGCTGCTTATTGACAGGGGTCAGCCAGCTTTTAAGGCAAAGGGCCACACAGTCAATATTTTGGGTTTTGCAAGCCACATATGGTCTGTCTTGCATATTTTTTCCCTTATAACCCTTTAAAAACGTAAAAATCATTCTCAGCTCATGGGCTGTGCAAAAACAGGTCAAAGGCCATATCTGGCTGTGGCTATAGTTTACTGAACTCTGGATTATAAGACATATCATGCTTTTTAAATGTCACTTACCAGGGGTGAGGGGACATGAACCTATTAAGTGTATGTGTCAACAGAAAGATAACTACCAGTTTCAAGAATGTTAAAATGTAGAGGGGAGAACACTGGGGGAATATAGTATTTCCCAAACTTTTTTTGACTTGAAGTCCTTTTTCTGCAGAGCAGCTCAAAGAGTGTTCTGAGGAACCTGCTTTGGGGAAGGCTACCGTGGGAGCAGATGGGCCCCTGGCCTGGGAAAGAAGAGGTGACCCGACCTGGATTCTCTCGATCTTCTTGTGCATCATCTCCATGTCATTGTTGAGCTCTGTGACATATGTGAACCGAGCAAAGTTCTTCTCCTCCTTGGCCAGAAACTCCTCGATGAGCTGATTCAGGTTCCCAGTCTTTATCAGTTTCAGCAACCGGAGGTGAGCCACCTCGTAGCTCTCAAAACTCTCGCCCTTGCTCTTCTTCCCAAACTTCTTTGCCTTAAGAACTAGAAAAGGAAGAACCAGCAACTGTGAGTCTGAAAGGGAAGCCATTCAGAGCAGAGCTTGGCAGAGGAAAGAGCTCCATAACATTATCCCTGTGCCCAGAGAGGGGGCTAGACTTTCCCAGGACAGGGAGGGGGAAGGTGAGAAATGGAGTTTCTCAGAAACACACTTCTAGCCATACAGTTGCAAATGAGAAGGTAGAAAGGGACAGAAGGGCTAAAAGACCAAAAATCAAATGCAGCTACACAGGGGGCTCTCTGAAGAACTCAGATCTTTCAACATGTTCAGGAGAGAGTTAACATAGCAGCCCTGAGACTGCTCTGCTTAGAAAGGTCTGTTTGCAAGGCTGGCCCTTCACCTTCATCTGGGAACTTAAATGGTGAACATTTCCCTACACTGATATAAAACTGTCCACAAATGGTTAAGAGTGGCTCCTGTGCCCTGACTGTATGAACAGTGTGGCCTATGCCGACATCTGCCTTCCTGCTGGGAGGCTGGAATCTTGGGATGTGCTGGGGAGAGAGGGCCCGCACGACCAGCCCCCAGGAAGAATCTTGGGCATCAAGTCTCTAATGAGCTCCTCAAGTAGATGACTCTTCACATGTGTTGTCAGAATCAGAGGCTGGAGGAATCAAGCATAAGCTGTGTGACTCCACTGGGAGAAGATCCAGGGAGCTGGGCCTGGTTTCCTCTGGACCTCGCCCCGTGCATCTTTTCTCCCTGCTGATGCGTCTGCATCACAGCCATGTTTGCAATGATACACTGAGTCTTGTGAGTCCTCCTTCAGAATCTCCAAACATGGCTAGGGCTGCAGCAACCTCCAATAAAACAAGTTCCTCCTCTAAATAATGGAAGCAGAGCCACAAGGTGAGGACACATCCTGTAGGTTAGCGATGGCGGATAAAATCCAACTCATCTAGTTAAATTTGAATTTCAGACAAACAATGTATTTTTAAAAGTATAAATATGTCCCAATTTGAGATAAACCACAAATAATTCTTTAGTGTAAGTATCTTTCAAATATTGCATGGGACTAAAATTTTATTCTTTATCTGCAATTGAAATTTAATGGTGTCTTGTATTTTTATTTGCTAAATTTGGCAACCTTGCTATGAGGAGACTTGGGCACCTTCAGTTGGGAGAAAGAGGTATTCAGTGGAGAGAGATACCTTCTTCCTTTTTGGACTGTTCCTCGAATTCAAGACGGTCATTCAGCTTCACGAGCAAGAAGGATTTGAGCTTGGTTTCGTGGTCGTAGACACGCTCCAGCTCTCGGATCTCCAGGCTGTACTGAGAGATGTCCTTCTGCTGGCGGTCCTTCATGGCGGCCATTCGGGCCATGGCTTCCAGCCTGGGTGGGGCGGGGAGCACAAACACAGTCTGAGTGTCCAGAGGCTCCTTCCTTCTCCCCCCGCCTTCTCCCTACCAGTCCAGGCAGACTTCATTCCTGGTCAGTGATCACCCCTTCTTTTAATCATGGAGATTTCTGGGAGTAGAGGAACCACCTTCCTCACCTGAATGACAGGAGCTCACAACCCTAGACCACCCTCAGGAAATGATTTTCTATCATCATCTCTGTCACCATCCTTATCATCATCATGACCATCACTGCCACCACTACCATCAGCACCACCACCACCATCAGCATCACCACCACCATCAGCATCATCAAACATCACTATTATCACGATTACCGTCATCATCACCACTTGTCAAGTATAATACTATGCCCCAGCCACTCCCTTATATACTCATATTTTTTAATATTTATTTATTTTGGCTGTACCAGGTCTTAGTTGCCGCATGCAGGATCTTCGATCTTCATGCAGGATCTTCTGAGCAGCAGCAAGCAAACTTAAGTCTCGGCATATGGGATCTAGTTCCCTGACCAGGGATTGAACCTGGCTCCCTGCACTGGGAGTGTCTTAGCCACCAGGAAATTCCCTATACTAATATTATTTAATCCTCACTTCCACCCAAAGAAGTCCTACAATAAATTAGTGGTGATGGAGCCAGGATTCAAACGCAGATCTCTCTGGCTCCAAAACCTGCACTCTTCTCATGTGAACTGCATGCCTTTTGCCCCTCCAGGGGTGAAGCCAGGAAACAGTCCAGACTGAGAGGGGTCCCTAGGACTAGAGGCAGGGACACCTGGGGGAGATGATACAGAATAGGGGTTTAAATCTCAGCTTCACCACATCTGCCACTTACCTGCATCTCAGGTAAGCATTTTGACATCTCTAAGCCTCCATTCCCTGGCCTGTAAAATTGAGATAATAACTCCTAGGGCTGTGGTGAGGGTTGATATACTACCCAGAGCACCTAGCATCATGCTTGGCAGACACACAACCAGGGCTCGGAGTCACGATGATGATGGTTTCAGGTTTCTCCACACATAATAAGCAGAGTGGGTAGAGGAGTAAGAAGCCCAAGAGGTGGCTGAGACATCTCGGCCCTCAAGAGTCTCTCCCCCAGCCTACCTCTGCTCGTAGGCCTGCGCAGACTGCTCGATGGCCACATTCATTGTTTTCTTTTGCATCAACAAGCGCCGATGAAGATGCTGGTAGACGTTGTCGTAAGCAGCCTTCTCATACCTCAGGTCCTCGATCTCCTTCCGGAGCTTCGCGTTGGTGGTCAGCATCTGGTCAAAGTGTACAGTGACCTGCAAGGAGGGCTGTGCTTCAAAACAAGGCTCGCTCCTGGGGCATGAGACAAGCTTCCAGAAGGCAGCCAGAGGGTTGAAGGGTCTTCCCCTCCCCTCCCACCCCAGGCCCCCCAGAGCCATAGTTGGAGCGCTGCCTGGCCTGCATGTACACCATTGTTCACCTTCTCCTGGCTTCATAGACATCATTCCTTCCTTCTCCGAAGGGAGGGAGAGCTGTCTACAGAGATTTTGTTTGGCCGCGTTGCACTCTGTGGGATCTAAGTTCCCCACGTGTTCCAAGTGCATTCATGCACACATGCTCAGGTGTGTCCGACTGTGCAACCCTATGGACTACAGTCCACCAGGCTCCTCTGTCCATGGGATTTCCCAGGCAAGAATACTGGGAAATACTGGGGTGGGTTGCAAGTTACTTCTCCAGGGGATCTTCCAAACCTAGGAATCAAATGCATGTCTCCTGCACTACAGGTGGGTTCTTTACCGCTGAGCCATAGGGAAACCACTTAAGCCTCCAGGGATCAAACCCGTGCCCCCTGCAGTGGAAGCAGGGAGTCCGAACCATTGGACAGCCAGAGAATTCCCCCAGAAGACACCTTACATACAAGATTCAAACGGGTTTCCAAAACATGGATCTGTTTCTGCAATTTCCGGGGGTTATTGGCCTCCTGTATTTTTGTGAAGATCTGTCTTTGGGTTACAATCTTTTTCTCCATCTGAACAATCTGGAAAAAAGAAAGAGAGGGAAGACCCAACTGTGTTAACATCTGTATGGGGACAAATGCAATAGTTCACTAACTCAAGCATGCTAAAACAAAAACTACCATGTTATTTCTTTTCCTATGAATAGAATTTTAATTTCTCTCTTGGATGCGGACTCAACTTACTCTTAGTCAGTTTGGGACAAAATGAGCAACTAGGAGTTTTTATTCTCACTTGTGCGTATAAATTTCACTCACATATGGGCAAAAATTTCACCTGACCCTAAAGCCACTGTTTTCCTTGAGAAATGGCATTGATCCCCCAAGAAGCCTTCTGTAACCTTGTTTTTGTTTGGTTGGCAGGTTTTTTGTTTGTTTCTTTTTCTGACTCTTACAATAATGGGGATGCTAGCGACCCTTAAAGAGCAAGTCATGAGGTGTCACACACCCTGCAACATGTAAGACAGCACCAGACATCCAAAAATTGACCCCCATCCCTTGTGACTATCCAGTGTGCCCTGGATGTCAGGCAAGGGAAAATCCTCTATAATCTTCTGTACCTAGAATCAAAAATGTCTTTTACATATACACACACAGCATTTTTCATTCTCTCTCTTTATTTAATTTTTGGCTGTGCTGGATCTTTGCTGCTGTGCATGGGCTTTCTCTAGTTGCAGAAAGCAGGGGCTACTCTCTAGTTGCAGTGCACAGGCTTCTCACTGCTGTGACTTCTGCTCTGACTTCTCGGAGCACAGGCTCTGGAGTGCATGTGCTTCAGCAGTTGTGGCTCCTGGCCCGTAGAGCACAAGCTCAATAGTTGAGAAGCATGGGCTTAGCTGCTCCGCAGCATGTGGGATCTTTTCCAGCCAGGGGTGAAGCCCACGTCTCCTGCATTGGCAGGTGGATTCTTTACCACTGGACCACCAGGGAAGTCCTTTCATTCAGTTTTCATAGACAAGTATCCAGGAATGGAGTCACTGTATAAATCAAGAGAATGTTCATTGATTTGTCTGGAACTTAACCAAGAGTTGGCCATCATTTTGGAAATCTTGACACCAGCACAACATGGAACATCTTGTGGTTTTTGTTTGGCCATGCTGGGAGGCTTGTGGGCCTCTGAGTTCCCTGACCATGGATTGAACCTGGACCACTGAAGTGAACACAGCAACTCCTAACCACTGGACTGCCAGGGAATTCCCATGGATCATCTTCTTTGAGTTGTGGACACAAGCCCAAATCAGTCTGCAGTGTGGAATCTGGCCTACTGCCTGTTCCCATAAAGTCTTACTGGCACACAGCCATGCCCATTCTTTGCATTGTCTATGACTGCTTTCAGGCTATGAAGGCAGAATGGAATAGCTGCAACACAGACCACGGCCTGTAAAGCCAAAATATTTACTATCAGGCCCTCTGTGGAGCAGTTCGCCAGCCCCGTTCTAGATAAGTCAGGCCAAAACATGAACATATCAAAATACACATAATTTTAGTATAAATAGCTTTCCTTTATGTTTCCTTTATATTATAGTCATAGCATCATATTGATTTAAAAGAAGAAGGGTAAAAGATTATACCATCTATGAATTTTAATTCAGAATTGTAAAGGAGGTATTATAAAATATTTGCTGTTTAAAACAGGTGCTGGCAGTTGAGTGATTCATAATTTCAAGTGTCAATGATGAGAAAATGATTAAGTTCATTTAGGCTCAGGATTTGTTAAAAATATGCTTTCCTCAGAACTTCCTCTGCTTTTATGGGCACAGATCTCAGCAGCCTCTCTTAAGGGGTAGCAGCTTGTATCATTTAGGAACACATGCAACAACAAATTACAGAAAGCCTGGCTAAATAGTGGTTTAAACAAATTATGGTTTATCTTTCTCTCATAATACATTGATGGCTTAAGTTCAGTAACTGAAGGATGTAAGGACAAGATCTGTATAATTCACCTGACTTCTCCCTTAAAACATGGCTGCCATAGCACCAGCCTTCACAGTTATGTTTCATGGAGGAAAACAGAGGAAGAAATATGGATGAAGGGTAGGACCTATATCTAAGATGCTTGCTCCTTCAAAGAAAAGCTATGAAAAATCTAGATATTATATTCAAAAGCTTTTGATGGCATATTAAAAAGCAGAGACATCACTTTGCCAACAAAGGTCTGTCTAGTCAAAGCTATGGTTTTTCCAGTAGTCATGTATGGATGTGAGAGCCAGACCATAAGGAAGGCTGAGCACTGAAGAACTGATGCTTTCAAACTGTGGTGCTGGAGAAGACTCTTGAGAGTCCCTTGTACAACAAGGAGATCAAACCAGTCACCCTAAAGGAAATCAACCCTGAATATTCATTAGAAGGACAGATGCTGAAGCCAAAGCTCCAATACTTTGGCCACCTGATGCAAAGAGCCGACAATGGAAAAGACCTTGATGCTAGGAAATATTGAGGGCAGGAGAAGGGGATGACAGAGGATGAGAAGGTTGGATGGCATCATCAACTCAGTGGACATGAGTTTGAGCAAGCTCTGGGAGATGGTGAAGGACAGGGAAGCCTGGCGTGCTTGCAGTCCATGGGGTTGCAGAGAGTTGGACACAACTGAGTGACTAAACAACAACAACAAACCAGTTGGAGTCTCTGAGCTGGAGGGGCATCTGGTAGGGAAACGTCCGGAAAACGTATCCTTATTCCTAAAAGAGAGTCATAGGAAGAGATGGTCTGTCTTCTCTTGAAGATGTTGTTCCACATGGATGTGGTGTCTGGAATTGCTGCTGCAGTCCTGCCCACAAAGGACAAATACTTTGATAACCTAACTGAGCTGCTGAATCAACCATCCTGAAGCTTGTAATATTTTTATATTTCCTGTTGGTTTTAGTCACTAAGTCGTGTCCAACTCTTTGCAACCCCATGGACTGTAGCCCGCCAGGCTCCTCTGTCCATGGGATTTCCCTGGGCAAGAATGGTGGAATGTTGCCATTTCCTTCTCCAGGGGATCTTCCCAACCCAGAGATCAAACCCATGTTTCCTTCATTAACAAGCAGATTCTTTACAACTGAGCCACGAGGGAAGCCTGCTACTTCCTGTTAAACGAGATAAAAACATTTTCTTATTGCCAGTACTTTACTCAGGAAGGTGGGCTCTGCCCCCAGGCCCAAGGGATAAATCATCATCCATCTAAACCAGAGGCTGGGAATCTTTTCCTAAAAGGCCAAAACAGTAAATATTTGAGGCTTTGAGGACCAAGAGACTCAAATAACTATTTTAGAATGTGTGAGTATGTAGATACTCACATATGTAGTATGTAGATACTCACATAACCATTTAAAAAGCAAACATTTAAGATGTAAAAAACAATTCTTCACTGGAGGACCATAAACAAATAGACAAGACTTGGTGCTTGCACCATAATCTGCTGCCCCTGGCATACCTCAAACCAATTCTGGAAATTCTATAATTTCCCTTTACCAGTGATTGGCAAAGGAATGGACCTATACCCCAACCCTGGCCAATCAGAGAAAATCTGCTGGAGGGATTTTGTGAGTTATTCTCCCTTTCATAAGAAGAGAATATAATGGAGGAAAAACTCCCATCCATTCTTTATATTTTTGAATGCAATTATATGAAATATTATACCAGCTAATGTATATTATATCCTTATACAAGATGGCTATTTGGCAGCCATGAGGCCAAAAGAGTCTCAGACAAAAATAAAAATCCATCATTGTAGAGCTGCTAAACCATCCCTAGGATGGTCTATTTCCAGTCAGACATCTTATTATGTGAGAAAAACAAACCTCTATTTTCCCAGCTGTGTTCAGTCAGGAATTGCATTACTTGCAGCCCAACACATTTCTCAAGCAAGATGGTGGCTCAGAAGATCAGACATCAAGGGAACCAGTGGATCTCACACAAAACTGGCAAGGTACAGAATTGCTGCTTATGATTGACATCAGCCAGGTTTTGGACTTTAGCTGGAACACACTGTCTCTCTCCCCCACAAATTCCCTCATAGCAAAATCAAATTGCTTCATCAGTGCTGACAAAGTCAGGTTCAAATCAAGCCAGATTCCTTTTCCACTTGGCTCTCCTTTCCTGTCCTATGCACAAAGGCAACATCCTCAACACAAACCCACTCCAGCTCTCTTCTGAAATAAAACAAATGACTTGTTTTGATTTATGGGAGGGTAGCGTCCTCCCCCATATATCAGGTGTGGCCTCTGCTGCTCTGAAGGGCTGCCTGTCCCTGCCTGAGCTGACCCCTAGAGTCCTCAGGCTCCAGCTCCTTGCCAAAGGAAGTTATGGCATCAGCTCTTGTGACTAAATTCAGAGCTGTATTCCCTTTGGCACCTTTATGTCAGACACTGCTTTCATGATGCTGCAAGTAATTAGGCTTCAGCCCAATGGGAGACATTACCCAAGCCTGTAGCTGAAGGGGAAATGCACTGCCTACACGAGATGCCCAGCAGGAAGGCATCAGCTTATTAATTATTCTGTGAGGCCAAGCAGGGCCCAGTGGTATCCTTGCCTCCAGTGACCCCTTAAAAGGACAAAGTTCTGGGCACTGTGCAGTGGACACAGCAGGAGGGGATCCTGGGAGCTGGGATGGAATTAGACCAAGAAGGTTTTTGTGCTGGGCAGTGAGTGCCATACTCTTTGGAGGATTAGCAAACTAAATCGCCTTTTCTAATGTTTCTAAGAATCCACATCCCTGTTTCTTTTTCCAATTTTTCTTTGTTCACCTTTAAAAGCTTTTTTTTCCCTTTGATGTGCACCATTTTTTAAAAGTCTTTATTGAATTTGTTACAATATTTTTTTTTTTAATGTTTTGGTTTTTTGACCGCAAGGCATGTGGGATTTTAGCTCCCCAACCAGGGATCAAACTTGCACCATCTGCGTTGAAAAGCGAAGTTTTAAGCACTGGACCACCAGGGAAGTTCCCTCTTTGTTCACGTTTATTGCTTTCTTCTCATACATTCATATGTTCATTCATTCACTCATTCATCAATGTTTATCAAGCCACTGCTTGATGCCAGACAACAGGGGCACCAGACAAAGTGGTCCCTGCCCTCAGGGAACCTAGAGTCTAGGACTGGAAACAACCCAGGAAGCATGTTGAGTTCTAGCAGAGGGGAGATAGCAGATAATTTGGACACACACAGTAGGGGCACATAGCAGAGAAAAATGAAGGGACAGCTATCCTGCATAAACAGCATTTGAACTGAGACCCAAAGGATGAATAAGACTCCCCCAAGCAGAGAGGATGGGGCCTAGCACTCCAGGCAGAGGGAACAGCATGTGCAAAGGCAGAGATGAGAGACAGCAGGGTGGATCCATAAAGGCAGCCAGTGTGGATGGAGCACAGAGGACAAGGTGTGGGGGGGGGCATTTACTTCAGGATCCAGAGTACCCTACTTCTCTGAGTACCCTCATTGAGTGTGCTATTTGTTCCTGGCCAGAAACCTAATACCAGGGGGATATACTTTCAACTGGACAGAGGCCATAGAGAAGGCCTCCCTGAGACCTGAGAAAGTCACCTTTAGGCTGAGAAACGGAGAGGGCAATGGCAACCCACTCCAGTACTCTTGCCTGGAAAATCCCATGGACGGAGGAGCCTGGTAGGCTGCAGTCCATGGGGTCACTAAGAGTCAGACACGACTGAGCGACTTCACTTTCACTTTTCACTTTCATACATTGGAGAAGGAAATGGCAGCCCACTCCAGTGTTCTTGCCTGGAGAATCCCAGAGGCGGCAGAGCCTGGTAGGCTGCCGCCTATGGAGTCACACAGAGTCAGACACGACTGAAGCGACTTAGCAGCAGCAGCAACAGCAGGCTGAGAAAAAGATAAGCAACTAGGGTGAGGCATTTGGGGGCAGCATATGCAAAGGCCCTGAGGTGAGAAAAGACAGCATTATTTGGGGGGAAAAAGAGAAAGTCTCTTGCAGCTGGAGTGAGAAGACTTAAGGAAGGAATAACATGGGATGAGCCTAGAGGGGTAGGCAGGGGCTAGATCACATAGTGACTTTCAAACCACAGTAAGGGATGAATGCTGTCCAGCAAATGTCTCTAGCTTTTTGTTTTCTGGATCCATGAGGACTGCACTTCCTAGGCCCTTTTGTGAATGGGTAGAGTTGACTATTTTTGGATGGGTATGGGCACTGGGGGTATTTATGGGTTCTGTAGACTGTCTTGAGTCAATGTGTCATGAGCAGATGTGAGGGTGAGACCCTCACATCAATTGCCAGGGTGAGACCCTCAGGATCTCATTTTTTTCTACCACAACCCCTGGCAATGTCCAAGATGGGGGCTATCCCACCAGCCTGGACCCAGGATGAGAGGATTTAAGAGCCCCGAGCCAATCTACAATAGACCATAAATCATGTATGAAAAAGAAACCTCTGTTGTTTTAAACCACTGAGTTGGGGAGAGGGAGTGTTTGTTACTGCAGCATACCTAACCTCTCCTGACTGATACAGTAAGGACTTGGGCATTTATTCTAAGTATAATAGGGAGGCACTGGAGACCACAGTGGGGAAATGGATCAATAGAACTGAGAGATTAGGGGTTACAATGGTGGTAGAGACAGGTTTAGAAAAGCCAGCAGTGCAGGATATGGTGGGGAGTACACCTCCCCCACTCCTCCTTGCTCAGTGTTCTGGCTAACCCTTTAAGAGAAAGACCACACCTTCTCATCCAGTTCAGCCAACAGCAGTTTCATTGATTTAATCAGGGCCTCATAGTCCTCCTTAGTTTGCAGCAGGAAACGCAGTTCCATGTAGTTTTTCTCATTGAGATCCAGGTTCCTGGAGGATTTGATGAGATTCAAAAGCAGGGTGATCTCATCTTGCTCCTCTTGCAGGGTCTTGATTTCCTTGCTGTTGGGAAAGCAGCACATGATTAACCCTGAACCCCTGGCTTTGCCTGGATCGGACACTCCAGGCCCCTTGACCCTGAAAGGAGACTCAGAGAGGTACTTCCCAACCCGGCGAGTTGGGAGGGACTCACTCAAGGTCTCTAGTCCAGGTCCTGAACTTACATCACCCCTGACCCAGTTCACTGCAACTTCCACTGCTCTGCACCCTTCTCTGAGTGATACTTTTTTTTTCTCCTCAGAACATTTGCAGCTGTGCCTGTCAAAACCCATTACCTAGACATGGTGGGAGCCCCCAAGTTTTCTTTTGCCAGCAGCTCACTGGCATCTGTCTGATTCACGGACCTTCTTTTCCAGCTTTCCAGCCAATTATCTCTGGTAATGACAGGCAAACCCACCAGATAGGATCTTTCGACTGCGCATCACCACAGAACTGCACAGGAACCTGTAACCCCCACCAGCTCCTCTATTCGAGGGCTAATGATTTATGAAATTGGCTGACATGAGTCATCTTTCTCTCCCTTGTCTACTCTGTAGAAGAGAGGAGGTCGAGGACGTGGGCAAATGGAGATTTTGCAAAGAAAAGAAGGCTCGGGCAACTGTACAGCAATTGAACAACGTGAAATTGGCACAGAGGCCGAATTTCTTGCAAAGTCCTTGCAGCCTATTCCCACTGCTCAGTGTGATTTGCAGGCTTGCGGCCTCAATGCCCTTTGGAAACTTGGAGAAATGCAGCATTTCAGGTCCCAACCCAGGACCTACTGAATCCGAATCTGCTTTGCAACAAGATGCTCAAGTGACCTCTAAGCACTTTAAAGTTTTGGAAGCACCACTCTAGAACAGTAAAGAACATTCAAGGGCAGGGGTCTGAAAAGACTTTTCTACAAAGAGTAAAGAGTAAATATTTTAGGTTTTGTGGGCCAGAGGACCTCTGTTGCATCTATTCAACAGAGCAACCATATGAAACACAAAAATGAATAGGTGTGGCTATGTGCCAGTAAAACTTCATAAAAACAGGCCGCCAGTAAGACTTGGCTCATTAGCCACTCCTGCTCTAAAGCAGCACTGTCCAGTAGATTACTCTGCAGTGATGGAAATGTTCTCTAGTTGCTCTGATAGCATCCACCAGGCACATGTGGCTCCTGAGCACCTGAAATGTGGCTGGTGAAACTGAAGAACTGAATTTCTAATTTTATTTTTTGTAACTAATTACCAATGTAAATGGCCACATGCGCCTAGGGGCCACCGAGAGCACATCTAGTTTCAGAGCATCTTGTCTTCTAAACCTGGCCCTTGGGACTTCTCTGCCCCTCTTAAGCCCCTCATGGGAGGGGTCTTTGTAAAGGTACAGAGGAAAAAGAGAGAGAGCAGGATAATTCATCAAAGACAGGCTTTCAGGGTATAGTGAGGTCAGAGAAAAGCAAAAGGAAGGTTTGTCCATCTTTAGGCAGGGCTGGGACAGAAGTGAGGGGAGTGAGGTGCTTCCAAAATTAAGGAAATCTTCACTCTCAGGGTGGTATAGGTGCAAGGTCAGCACTGGGAAAAAGCACTTCCTTAAATATTGTACCCTAACTACCTCACTTACCTCAGCCCAGTTTTCCTCCTATTTTGGGGTGTTTATGTCTACTCTTCCACTCCCCTCCCCCGCTTCAGTTCCATCACAGTGAAACCAGATCAAATGGACCAGGGTAGGGTAGAGTAGGATGCAGAAGAGTAAGAAAGATTCAAGAAAAACTGAAGACATACCAAGAAGTAGGCATTTCCTGATGCCCACACCAAGGATAGGCTGTGAATCAAGATCTCCAGGCACAGAAGTGCAGGTTGTGGACTGCACAGCCCAAGGGAGCACCATCTACTTGAAAACATATCACCGATTTGCTGATTTATTGTACTTTTCTGAGAGACAGTTCAGTTCAGTTCAGTCCAGTCGCTCAGTCGTGTTAGACTCTTTGCGACCCTATGAACAGCAGCACACCCGGCCTCCCTGTCCATCACCAACTCCCAAAGTCCACCCAAACATCCATTGAATTGGTGATGCTGTCCAACCATCTCATCTTCTGTCATCCCCTTCTCCTCCTGCCCTCAATCTTTCCCAGCAACGGGGTCTTTTCAAATGAGTCAGCTCTTCACATCAGGTGGCCAAAGTATTGGAGTTTCAGCTTCAGTCCTTCCAATGAATATTCAGGACTGATTTCCTTTAGGATGGACTGGTTGGATCTCCTTGCAGTACAAGGGACTCTCAAGAGTCTTCTCCAACGTCACAGTTCAAAAGCATCAGTTTTTCAGTGCTTAATTTTCTTTATAGTCCAACTCTCACATCCACACATGACCACTGGAAAAACCATAGCCTTGACTAGACAGACCTTTGTTGACAAAGTAATGTCTCTGCTTTTCAATATGCTGTCTAGGTTGGTCATAACTTTCCTTCCAAGGAGTAAGTGTCTTTGGCCGTGTTTTAACAAAATCTCTACATAACAATGATGTTTCCAACAGATGGCAGTAAAGAATCTTGAGGAAAGGGTGCCTTTTTCTAATTCACAGTGATTCCATATTGACTAGCAGTGGCTCTGAGTAAGCCAATCCATGGAAAATCTAAAGAACTCCTCTAGCCTCTGAACTTCACACATCATCTAACAGTCAAATTTTCTTTCTAATAACAGGCAGTTACTGCCTGTATAAACATTTTAGATGTAGTTAAGGAATCACCTTTCCTTGGACGGAATCTAAGAGTGCCTGTTTAACGTTTGTTTCTTCAACCCCCGAGAACACCTTTCTGTTGCCCAAGGAAAACTATATATAATTTCTAGGGCAACTCAATTTCAAATATTCAGTCTTTAAAAAAAAATAAAAATATTCAGTCTTGAAGATCCCAAAAGGTCACACAAACAGGAAACGTCCTTTGGGGTATCCACTGCCGGGTGATTTCCCCTTCTCTGGGAACTCCCCACCTTCATTGCTAGAACCACTGGGGATACCCATATCTATTTTTCGTCCTATAGTTCAACCCCTAGGCCACAGCTGATTGGGCCAGAAGCAGACACCAGACCCAAGCTGAGACAATCAGATTCTCCCTCTCCTGAAAATTCTGGGATGGATTCTCAGAATTCTGGAATTGATTAAGGACAGTCTATCTGTGTTGCCCTTGGTAGCTCAAGAATTAGAGGAAGCCATCTCCCACCAGCCACAGCTGAGACTCAAGAGAAGGAAGAACAAAACTCATGTGTTCAAAGAAACAGGAACCAGAAATGGCTTCTAGTTTGGGTCCTTTCCTGAAACATGGGTGCTTTGCTCTCCTTGGGGTCCCTGAGACACCCTGAACTCTGAGAATTTATCTCCTTTCCCCACTGAAGCTATCCCAAATGGGTCCATGCCCCAGAGGCCACATCAGAAGGCAAGCCCCATGAAACCAAACCCCAAATTTTCTATGACCATCACTTACTGCTGGTTCGTGATCTTCCGCTGGGAGCGGAAGTTAAAGGACTTCCGACTGTCCACCATCTTCCGGAACTGCTGCCTCAGCTTCCGAAGCTCCCCCTCAGCCAGCTGCTCTTTGGTCTTCTCTGAAGGTTCCTGGGAACTTTCAGGGTCTTTTCTCCTGTACTTCTTCTGGGTGAGACAGGGTGGGTATTAAGCAACAGGTTAGGTGACTAGAAAAGCCCACATTTCAACTCAAGGATGGAAGGCAAGAAGGGTGCTTGGGGCAGAGCTAGAGTTGAAAGACCACCCTTGGGTGATGTCAACTGCTTGTGTGTTACATTGAAAACCTGCCCTGGGTTGCTGGGGTGGAGGGGAGACTGGACTTCATTATTACATACTGAAGAGGTGGCCTTGCTGTGTGGCCTTGGGTGAGTCACTTAACATCTCTGAGTCTCCAGTCTTTCATCTATAAAACGGGTACACACAGATTTGCTGTCAAGATTCCATGAGCTAATATGTATTTAGTGGACAGCACAATGCCTAACCCCAAAGTAAACCCTCTACACATAGGAGCTATTATTACCCACCATTGGCATCTTGAAGGAATTGTGCTTTATCTCTGCTCGGACACCGTACCCAGGGAGGTCAAAGCCAGCAAGTGCTCCTTTCTCTCTCTGCAATGCCCTGTCCACAGTGGCAAAACAAAGAAAACTCGTGAGCACCACCCCTGCTGGTGGTGCCGGACCCAGCAGCACCCTCTCCCTTCTCCACCCCCCGCAGACCTCCCTCCTCCCACAGTTTGGCACCAGAGGAGGACATGACAGATGGCTGCCCGGGTGTGAGAAGAGGCTTTTTTTTTCTTTTAAGCAATGTTTCCCTGAAACCTGTTCCTCTCCCAATTTATTATTAGGAGCCAGGCAGATGGTTCTGGCATGTTGGTCACCCTCTTGCTCCCTGTGTTCCCAAAGAAGAGGGGCAAAATGGCATCAAGGCAATGTGTCCTCTAATGGGGTTACATTGAAATTCACCCAGCTTCAGCTGTGAGGACAACCTCCCCTCGCTTTTAAAAGCAGAAGCCAGTTGTACTGAGATGCATTAGGTATTCAGAGGTGCGAACAATGATAACTCTATGAACTCCATGAGGCTGTAAGATCCACTGCACCCCAACTTCCAGACTTCAGGAACTAAATTCCTAAACTAGAAACTCTGAGCTCTGCCACCCACTGAAGGGTCCTACAGTGCAGCAGTTTAAAGCATTGCTGTATCAACCATCAAATCTCAGTAAAAATTCCTCCTTGGCCACTTGTTAACTTTGGACAAGTCATTTCAGTTTTCTGGGCCTTGATTTCCTCATCTGGAAAATAGAAGAAATTCTAGAAGCCATTTCAGGTTGTTCAGCAGGTAAGGCACTAAACCAAGCACAAAGTAAGAACTCAGTAAATGGGAGCTGTTATGATATGCTGTTATATGGGTCTTTTCATATGATGACAGTTTAGCATTAAAAAAATTTATGTGGGCTTATGGGGCATCCAGCATTCCTCTGTCTCCTGTAGCAATACCTGGAATTTCCAGTAGGAAGCTACCCTCTCCCTCACTCCTGGTCATTTCTGGATTGGAACCTGTGACTCTGGATGGGCCAATCATAGTGCCAGAACCCTGGCCAATCTGCATAATCTCAGGGCCCTGGCCCAAGTGATCAATTCCGTGATAGGTCCGTGACCCCAAGCAGAGTAAAGGGTGGAATTTAAGCTTGCACAGTCAGGAAGAGGGAAATTCTGTTTCCTGCTGCACTTTAACCTGTGAATGGGGTTGGGAGTGGCTGGCAACCATCTTGCCTCTTCAGGGAGCCTAAGAATAACGTTATCTTGGAGAACAGAAGACAAACTCAAGAGAAATTTAACCTTGGGGGAATCATCTGAGGCCCTGGATATAGCCAAGCCTGAAGATACTCTGGGTCATGTCCAATTACATGAATTGGCATATTCACTTAAAGTAATCCAAGATGAGTTTTCTGTTGCTTGCAACCAAATGAGTTCTCATGCCTGCAGTACCTAAATCTCTTTAGCACACAAACTAAGAGGCTACTGTGTGCTAAACATTGTAAGGAATTCAGATGTAAGTCAACCTTCAAGGTGCTATGAACCCTGCCCTAGGTAAAATAGTGGGAAAAGGTGCACAAAGAAGATGATTTTCAATTTGGGTTTCGAAGGATTAATAGGAGTTCACCATGCAGAGAAGAAAAGTGGGGAAGAAACTGGGGGTAAAGAGAACTGTCCGGGCAAAGGCTGAGTGGCAAGTGAATAAAAGGAGCGTTCAGAGACAGGTGTGTGCTGTAGTATAGATTGCAGCACCCACTGGGAATAGCCAAGAGGTTTGGAAAAGCCAGGATGTTCCTTAAAAGCAGGGAGGTAAGAAGATCAGTCTTTAAGAGATGAGGTAACTGTCTCCCAACAACCACTTCTCCTGCACGAAGAGTTGCTGCCACAGTAGCTGCCTGACCAGGGCTTATACTTCCCAACTCCTCCTGATCCACGCAGGCCTATGAACTCTCACCCACGGGATGTGAGCAGAGGGGTGTGTCCCTCCAGACCATGACTTTAAGAAGTGGATGTGACATTTCCATCTTCTCTTCCCTGCTCTGACATTTATGCGAAGCGCAACCACAGATGGGCAGAGCCACAAGACAGGTCCCCTAAACCAACTTGTGGAAGAAGTTACCTGCCAACCATGAACATCCTCATTGGACTGTTAACCAAAAAAAGAAATTAATTTCTATTATATTAAGCCAATGAAATGTGGGAATATCTTGGTTATAGAAGCTAGCTATAACATGTTACAGCTAGCATGACACTTAGAACACCCTAAGTTCTTAACAGGACTCTGATTTTGTCCCTCCTCAATGTGCCCAGTTCTAGAGGATGAATCATGATTGGTTCCCACTAATCCTAGCAACCCTATTTCCCTTTGTCAATGATTGGTCAAAAGATGAGCATGTGACCCAGATCTGGCCAATGAGACTTCAGGAGAAGTCTATTTCTATTCCTTTATGACAAAAAGAGCTTGTCCATAGTCCCCTTTCTTTTGCTTTTGGAAATTATTGTGAAAGAATGATAGTTGGTGCTGGAGCAATCATCCTATGATCATGAGGAGAAATATCACTGTCACACTAAAGAGAGTGAAGAAGAAATATGGGGGGAAATTTCGGTCCTCACTGACACTGTTTGCCACTGCCCCATTCTTAGAACAGCCTACCTCTTGGCTTCTTGTTAAGTGAAATAGTTAACCATCACTACAGTTTAAGGTACCCTTATCAAGTATTTTCTTCATTGCAGCCTACAGCATTCCTGCCTTACATGACCCACTACCTTGAAAATGATTCTCAAGTTGCTGGGTGACAGGACAGTAGTGACTGAGGCTACAGGACCTTTGACATTTCCCTAATATGTTCTAGGGGGTTTCTAGAGGATTTGGAGACTAACTGAATTTTGGTAAATCACATCTGAAGGAAAATATCTATTTCTGGAAAATTTCCACAGACAGGGAAGTAGAGTAAAGACTAAAGTTCTATAGCTTGGTTATTTCTGGAAGAGCCCTCAACGTATGCCTAGAGGCTATAGCAGGATTTATTAGACTGAAAAAAATTGGGCAAAGGATACTCACTTTAGGACCTCTTTAAATTATAGAATTTTGTGCAGCTCCAGTTTCATATGGTCCAGGAGCTTTTCTATATCTAAAGACTCTTTTGATCCTAAGTGGATCTGTAATGCACCTTTCTAAAAGTATGACTAAAGGATATATGACATTCACTGACAATGTGATTTCTCTCTCTGATCTTCAGTCTCCTCATCTGTCGAATGGAGATACTCACCCACATCCTCAGTACAAAATAATGTATATAAAGCTCTTTGCGCAGAAGCCTAGCACATAATAGGTGCCTGATGAATGTAACTTGTCTGTGAATCATGATTTTTAAGTATCAGTTTATCTTGCCCTTGAGCTAATTGGTTGTGTTGTATGTTTTCCCCCAAGAACTGGAGACCCCATCAACTTTTACCTTTTTGCTTGATACACATACATACACACAGAAAGAGAACCAGGCTCCTCCTGGGACACTGGCTTTTCTCCAGCTTCTAGACACCAACACAGACCCTCTGAGCCCTCTAGGCTGGGCCCACTCTGTTCCCTGGGAAGAGATCCACCCTCATTTACACAGCTTGGACTTCAGAGAGCCCTGCAGGGTGTCCTGGCCCCTGGCACACCACCCTTTTGGTCAGGGTTCTCAAACTCAAGGCCCACGGGGCAAATTCAACCTGCCTTCAGTTCTGGTTAGCAGGCAGTGTTTTAAAATGTGAATGTGGGTCATGCAGTCTCTCTCCTGACTACGGGCTCTGTTCCTCCCCATTGCCTAACTCCTCCTCCCCTCCATTCCCACATTTCCTGTATTGGGAGCCAGCAAGACTTTGAGCATGCAGTTCTTGGGAGGAATCTCAAAGCTGCCCATGCAGTGGAAAGTGTTAAGAAATCCAGAGGTCCGGGTCAGGAAGCATCATGAAAGTGCCTCCAGCTCCCTGGACCTCCCACTACCTACTACAGTATCGGTAATCTTGGGCACATGATTAGCTCTTAGCAAATACTATTGGAATGAATGAAGTCTCATAGTGGGTGGAGACTTTATTGTCTAATATTTAATTAGTTGAGGTAGAGGCAGCAGGCTCCTCCTCTGCTGCTGAATTTTAACAATCTGCCTTAAAAGAAAATCCTGACCCCCAGAAGGGCTCTGCAGGCCCCCTGGGACAGTTTACTATGTGGATTATAAAGGCCAAGTCTGAAAGAGAAGGATCCTACCAAAATTAAGTCAAGGCTGCATAACCTGGTGGAATGTTAAAACATGCTTGCAGCGCTAAGCGGGGCGCAGAACACAAACTTTTAAAAATTGGGATAGTTTCGGGGGGGAGTGGAAGTTTGTTGGGCTTCCTTGGAGTTATTTGACAGACTGTAATTTATTTACGTTTAATTGAGGGGGTGGCAGGATATTTTCCAAGTTGAGGGGCAGCCTCTGACGTCGGGGACCAGGGGCAGCCACCAGGTATTCGATTTCCCCAGCAGGGGGTGCTGTGACGCAGCAGGCGCGGCTGCAAGCGCAGAGAAACTCACCAGCGGCGGCCTGCAGGACCGCTCCCACCGCGTGTCCGACGTCGGCCGCAGCTGCGTGTCGGACGGCGCTGGGAGAACTGCTAGCTGCACCGCTGTGCTGGGCCGCGCCGACCCCAAGCCCCAGGTCCGGGCGTTCTCGGACCCCTGGAACGGCGCCTTTGTGACTCGCACAGACGGACGTTCTCCCCTGGAAGATGCTGGGAGGGTGCAGAGCCCTGAAGTGAGAAGCAGAACAGCCCATCAGAGGAAGGGGTTTTTTTTCGGAGGGCAAGAGGGGTAGCGACACTCTCTTCGGAGACACCCCTTACAGACTAATTGAACCCTCACAGCACTGCTTGACTCAGTGACCGTTATCCTTCCGTGACTTGGCCACTCACACCGCCATTCAAGCTCCAATGTCCTCTCTTATTCACAGGAATCTCCTCCCGCCTCACATTCGAGGTCCTTACAGCAATCCTACTGGGTGCATAATTTACATACACAAACGCAAAGGAACCCAGATCTTCCTGCTTTGGAAACAAATACCCACAGGTGCAGGGGAATTTGTCCATCCATTTTCTTCAGGAGCACCCACCCTCATCCTCTGTGAGCTTAACATGGGGCACCCCAGTCTGATCCTGTTTACCTATGACCAGCACCATAGGTGGTCAGCATTTTTCACTGGCCTAACTGCGTTTGATTGTTTAAAGATAAACATTTCTTCATACAAATGGCCCTGAAATACAAGCCAACCACTTCCTCTGAGGCTAAACTCAAGAAGCAGCCACTCTGCTGAAGGGAACCGATTACTGGTTTTCTAGGGTAATTTTGATGCCCTAGAAGGTGATTTCCACCTTACCTCGAGCCACTTGAATGAATGGTAGCTCAGTCTCACTAAGCTCTCCATTCTCTTATCCCTAAACTCTTGGCAAGATGTATTTTAGAAGTTACTGTGTTTGGGGTTTCAGAAAGGTGCTTTGGTGCACAAGGAAGCATGTTGCCCCTGATGTTGCTGGCAACCATGTAACCGTGAGGGAAGTTAGTGGGACAGTGTATATTACAAATGAGATTTGGGCAACATGTCAAAATCAAACACACATTTCTGCAAGAAAACATGAATATTAATAAGTAGAATAAATAAAGATCATAAGCAGCTTCATGTCAGGCCTTGATGACTCACACAAAGTGTTTTGGGACAAGTGTCACCAGTCTCATTTTACAGATGAGGAAGCTGAGGCTCAAAGAAACAGAATGACTTTTACAGTTAGTGGAGGATCCAGGATTTGAACCCAGAGTCTGGCTGCCTCTAGAGACTCATGCTTCATCACAATTCTGAGTGAATCCACAGCTCCAAGCCTGAGAAGTTCTGGTAGCTGGTATCTACCATCTCTCTGATATTTAAAGGGCTGCTCTAGCCCTCGGCTCCATATATAGCCCAATGACTCATAATTTCAAGTGTCAACGACTGAAAAATGATTAAGTTCAATTAGGTTCAGGACTTGTTAAAAATAGGCTTCCCTCAGAAGAATTTACTCTCTCTGCCTTTATGGGCACAGATTTCAGCAGTCTCCATGCAGAGAAGTGCAAGGCTTTTTAAATTAGAACATGCCAGAATCAATTCTGCTAAAGGGATCTTCAGCTCCGTCAGTGGGGCTTGGAGCAGAGTGAGATGCCAACTTGCCAAAATGATGAGCCAGCGGTGAGAAGTGTTGGCGATAGCAGCATCTACAGAGTGGAGGAGGAAATTAGAATCAGGCTACAGAGGGGCTAGGCAAAGGCATTTGGCCACGGACCAGGAAGCTGATTGTCCAAATGACTCTTTGACAAGGAATCAGAAACCCACCTGAAATAACTCAAAATGATTTTTTTTTTTCTCTCCAGCATCTGTTCCCCTTCCTCCTTCCCAACAGATCCCAATTTGTTCAGGTAACCATCCCTCTCCCATTCAGCCTATGTGACCAGAAGAAATTGATTTTCGCACAAATCTCCAGAATCACTCTCAATTGCTCTTAGCCCATCACAGCTATCCCATCCTCCTTGCCAATGATTGGACCTGGAAGCTAATTTTAAGCCAGTTTGTGCATAGCATTCTCCTGGAGATTGCAACTGGCCCAGGAATTGGCACATAACTGACAGTGGCCTAGTCAGACAGAAAGGAAGAATTTACAGGCCAGGGCTTTTTTTCTAGCTCCACAGATGGGAACAAGGAAGCACGTTGCCCTGCTGTTGCTGGCAGCCCTCCTGTAACCATAAGGGAAGGAAATGTGAGATCAAAGCCAACACGTTATACAGGGGGGAACCTAAAGAGAACGGCAGAACAGTGTAGCTGGAGCTCCAATCATACCATACCTGAAATCTACCTTGGCCCCACACTTCTTGTTTTTGGTGTTTTTTTTTCTTTTTGGCCATCCCAAAAGGCATGTGGGATCTCAGTTCCCTAACCAAGGATCAAACCTGTGCCCCCTGTCCTGGGAGCTCAGAGTCTTAGCCACTGGACCACCAGGGAAGTGCCACACTTCTTGTTAAAGAAGTTAACACATTTTTTTGTTTAAGCCAATCCAGATTTCTATTTCTTCTAGCCAAAAGTATACTAAACTATATGAATATCATGGTTATTGCATGTAAACCGGAGGCAGATCCCTACAAGGAACAAGAACCAAGAACTAGAAAGCTGTCAGAAATCAAAATAGCTCCTCTCTCCAGCTCTCTCTCTCTTTTGAATCAACTGATCTCTCAACTTGGTCTCTTATT